TGCCGAGCACCTACAATATGTTTGAGGACAGCCCCAGGGATAATCAGCCGCTAGTAAAAGCAAGCAGAAGCGTCTAACGAAAAGGAGAAAACCTGATCAAGTGCATGTTCTAACCATCTATATTCAAATGAACAGGAGAAGGATGCTGCTTTCATTTTTATATTCTAATAAAAAGTATGGAGACATTGCTTCTCCAAGAAATAAAACGTCAGGTATTACATGACTCTTCCCTTCACCCTGCTCCTGATTAAACTTAGTGAAACTCTTTTAACTGTATATTCTGGAGACTTTCAACAAACTTACATGGAAAACTTTGGTCTAATAATTAAGACTGACAAAGTTATAAGGAACTAAAGGGTAAGTCCTTTAAATGAGTAGTCAGAGCTATCATAGTAAGTGGTGCTACTAACTCCAACTATGAACATGACCAACCTTCATTAAACATATACAGTGATTCCATTTAAAATACACTAATCAATGGAAAGCTTGCCTGAAGTCAACTTGATCTCAATATTGCATGATTTAAGTTATTGTAAGAGCAGTAGCTAACAAGAGAAAGCTCTGATCACAAACTTTAGAAGATGACAAAAGAAAATTAGTGTCCTTGATGATTAATACTTAATTCATGATTTAACTGAAGAATGTAGCTACACATACACGATCTCAACAGTAAACAGCCCTATGCTGGCCTGCGGCAAATTTAAGAGTTGTATCAATGCAACTTTAAAACTGCTCCTAACTACAGTTCCTCCCCCGCTCCCCAACTCCTGCTTAATGCTTTAGTACTTAGAAAGCATATGTACTTCACACCGTAAGTGGTCAGCTACCCCTCTTCTCGTTGCAGAGAATATTTCACTGTGTAACCAGTGAAATCACAATACTGCATCACTATTAAATGAATTAGAAGATGTATGTCTGTTATGCAGGAATTCACCAAAAAATGGTGTAGAGCGATTCCACTAAAATATATTTGTTTTTCTTGTACTTTCAAGACCTTTGGGACAAGCTTTCTTCACTACTGCAGCTCCCCATTAGGGCAGACTTTCACACTGTGAAATACCATAAGGAACATGTGCTTCACAGTAGTCTGTGTTCATGGCTTTGATATCACAGAAAGCTACTGTGAAGCTTTTGAAAAGTAAGTCCCATGATAGCACAGCATTTCATTGCGTGTACCCTTTACGTCCTACCAAAAAGGCAAGCTATGTTGTTCAGCAAAACTGAACTGTGGTAGACTGGAAACATAATACACTTTTAAACCTAAAGAACTTGTTTACAAGCCATTAAACTCAAGGTGAGTTGACCCATATCTGCTTGAGAAATCATTGAATTCTAGCCATATTAGCTGAACTGAAGAAAGAGCACAGCAGGCAGAAACTCGTATCTTTGAAAAGAAACAATTGCTTACAAAAGATATAGCGGGCTCATGCTGTCCTATGAAAGCAGAACGTATTTGGTAAAAAGGCAAGCCAAATCTCTCAAATAGAAAATGCTGTTTTCTGTTTAAAAAAGTCCAGTTTAGAAAAACTGCACAAGATACACCCAAAAATCACTAAACTCAGACCATTCTGACCAGAACAAATACTCAAGCTTAGTTCTTAGGCCTTTGTCCTCAACCTGTTTTATTCCTAGATAAAGTTTCTGCTCCATCTATAACACTTGCCCAAAGACATGCTTTACTTTTGGTAGAACTCATAAATAAGCATGCACGTAAAGCAGCTTTATTTCTGGAGGACAGCATTACTGTAAACCTTTCTGTTGAACAAACAACCAAGTTCCTGCATCTGCCTTTTAAATGGAAGTCCTTTCAAACATACCATCAGTTGCTGTACTCCAAGAATCCTTTATAAAGTGACAGAGCATTAAATCATCATAAAATATTTCATCAAGATGGCCAAATAATTCTATAAACATCTGGAGACAACGCAGGAAGCTGTTTCCGTAAAGTGCTGACCACCGTGGTGAAATCTGAAGTTCAAAGGCATTTAATGAAGACCTCTGAACATCAGCACCACATACTCACCACAAAACACTGAAGCAGTCAAATTTTGTTTCAACCTTCAAAACATTGCTAAATGTTAAACCTGAATCAAGAGCACAGCGTAACAGTACCAAATACAGGCAAGGCAAAAATCAATCAAGAGGCTTTTGATAATTATGTCCTGTTGGCTTTTTCAATATGATCCAGACATTAATACTTTTAAGAGAAGTACATAGAGAACCAATAGCCTTTGATGGCTCCAGATAGAAACATTTAAGAAAGAGGTAAGAAAAGAAGCAAGTATATTGCTTCATTCTGATTGCAAAATTTCCCAAGTTACTCTGCTGAACAGGGAAGCGTGATGTTTGTGCCAGTAATCTGCATCAGATTGACAGCTGATGACTCCATATTTCCAAAGGATTAAGAAATCCAAGGTTCTGTGCCAACAGCACTCCCCATAACCATTCTTCAGATCTCTTATCCACAGGAGTTGCATGTAACATACTTGTCACTGCATGAGCACACAACTGAAAAAAAGATTCCACTTCATCCTCCACTCATTAGTAAAAGTAGCTGACTGGTAAAAAAGTATTTATAGCACTTCTGTATCGCATTAGCTTGCAGTTTCTTTGAGCTACACAGCTACAGTTTACATGAGTTACAGATAAGAACTGGATCTCCCTGTGTTGTCAACATTGTGGTGAAGTTGGTTTCCTGATGTTAATGTTTGTCTACATCTGTAAGTGACGATATTCTCTATTCTTGCTATGACAGCAGCTATATTACTGTAGTGAACAAAAGCCTTCCCCAGAGCTATACCTCAACGATAACTTCGTACCTTAAGCTTACAATCAAGGAATATGTTCATTTATTAAAAACCAACTGCCTGTAAGCAGTTATGTTTCCAATTAGGGTTCTGATGGAAAAAGTGATTTACTGAAAATGGTATTTTCTCATAAGAGATTACATTGTGGCAAGTCACAGGCAGTTAATGCACAGTGACAAACTGACAGAGTAGCACCAGCCTCTTCTACATCAAGACAACATTTCTCAGATATTAGTTATGTAAAATATTAACACATGCTCTATTTCTGACTACTTATTAATTATAAGAACAGAAGGGTTTATATCATCTTGGAGATAAAATATTCATAAAGCACCAGATATTTAAGCTAAAGAAAACCAAAAGTCAGTATACATTTCTTATGCCCCTTCTGAAAAATTTCACCATATACTTCCTAGCAGAAAGAGAGAACTGGGGAACAAACTCCACAGTGGTTTCTTTTGTTCTTGTTTTTAACTAAGCAGAATATTAATACAAGACCACACCAACAACAAACAAGTAATTTTCAGTGTTAAAGGTAAATTGGTAAGAATCACGCTTACTGCAATAAAACCATCCTATTTTCATCGTGTAATACTTGATAAAATTCTGCTTTCAAAAAAGCAAAAGCAGAATTTTCACTCCTACATCTCCTATGGAAGTGCCTAACAAAAATCTCACACTAATTCTTAAATGTTTTACAGCATCTATAAACTGACACAGCAGCTCAGACTCATTAAAGGCATAGTTTGATAAACATTTCCTTCAATGATAACACCAACTTACTTAGCACCCTCCTCTCTCAAAACCTCTAAGAACCTGAGTTATGGATAATACTCAGAAGCCCTCAAGACACACACCTCCAAGAGCTGAATATCCACCTTTAAGGGCTTCCCCATTTGATTCACACAGAGGAAAATAAGCAGAGTTTTGGAAGACCCCAGTAATAAATTATGTCTTTTCTATAAGAATCTTCTAACTTTAGAAGTAGGCAAGAAGCTACTAACCTACCCCCTACTCACTGAAAATATTATTATTTGAGGGCAAAGATGAGATTTGCACCATCTTAGCTTCATGTATCTGATTTCGGTGTTACTTCATTAAAAGTACTATTACTAGCATGAAAGTAAGAGCACACTATAGCACAGGAAAAGAAACCAACCAAGTTTTCCCTATAATGCACCCATATCAGACCACACCCAGAGATAGCTACAGTTAGATGACTTCCCTACTGGTCCCATGCAGCCTTCTCAGGCCAGAAAGTAAAGGCCAATGCCATTTTGTACTCCCTGTTAAAGATAATCAAGCAGAAACATTTTTTCTGTTATACTCTGACAGTTTCCCACAGTTGGTGTGTTTCCAGCCCAAATCGCAGGGCTGTACACTATTCAGTAGCTTCCCGCCATGATCCCTGTTTAAACTAATGTAAAATCCCATCAAGTACTCAATAGCACATCTAACTGGAGATTCTCTGGTTTGAAATTATAATTTCTGGAGTCCTTTAAAACACTGCATCTTCCTGTTGGCTGTACACCAGATGCCTACTGTATCTGCAGACTATAAAATGTCTCAAAAGGAACTAGGTTAAATTAAAATTGACAATTTGTCTTTGAACTCCCTGATCTTAAACAAGGCAGTTTTACTAGATTTTCCTGCCCTGAGGAAAACACCAAAAGGAACAAAGGCAGAAATTCCAACACACCTCAATCAAATGACCTGCTGAACACAGTGAAAGTTAATCACTTCAGGACATACTCCCTTCTTAACTATTTCTGTAATTTGCAGTGCTATTTTCTATCTACTTATCAGTCACATTAGAGTGAAAAATTTAGTTATCCCATCATTTGTATGAGACATACTGCCTAACAGGAAGAAACGTTAGGGTTCCGGACAAAAGATAATAGTATCAACAAGCTAAGCTAGAAGCAGGGACAAGAAGCATTGAAAAAATATAAACTGCACCCACTATGAAGTTCGAATAGACTATTTCAGTTGGAAGGGACCAACAAAGATCATCTAGTCCAACTGTCTAACCAATTCAAGGCTGACCAAAAGTTAAAGCATGTTATTAAGGGCATTGTCCAAATGCCTCAAACACTTGGGGCACTGACCATGACTCTAGGAAGTCTGTTCCAGTGTTTGAGTTCTTCAGTTCTTATTTGTATAAAAATCTCTAGACAGAGAGATAGATGATGGGGGGTAGATTTCATTAGACATTAAAAAAAGAGCAGACTTCATGAGATTAGCACATACCTTCTGTCTGTTGAGTCTCCAGGGGCTTCCTCTCCCTAGGTTCTAGAGGCTTAGTTTCACATCGCAATTCTGTAGATTGCTTTTTTTCAAAGCTGAACTCTGGAAGTCGTGGAGCCTGAGGTCTAGTTTTTCTTGCAGGATTCAGGAAAAAGCAGTAGGCACACCTAAATGCTACACAAAAGCACACCCAATAAGTAGCCTCACTAACTAATTTCACATTTCACCTTTAATCCTACACTATATTCTGACCGTCCAAAATACTAAAAACAGAGAATTAAATAAGTGACTATCAGTACCTGAGAGTACCTCCATCAAATTTACACAAGCTCTTCCATATAGCTCCATTAATTTCAGCATACATTTACTTCTTAAAAACCTGCTTGCTTTCAGCTCTGCTGCACTTACGAGTACTGCCCACCACTGTGAAAGATTTAACTACAATGAACAAAACAATGCAATTCAGTACCACAAGATGTTGCCACATGATGTTGTTCTATTCTTTCCTACAAAAATTAAGTTGGCAGATGATTTCCCCCCCCCCCCTTAAGATGCCACTTTCCTCACCCTTTAAGTAAGGGGATGCTATGGATTCTGCAAGGTATGTCTCTGCTTTTTGAGATGCATTCTGCTCCAGTGGTGCTTCATTAAGAAAAGGCAGTTTTGTTCTGGAGAAGTACTGGATACCAGTTAATAGATAAATGCATTATTTCCCCTACCAAGAGAAGGGGGAGGAAGTGGCAATTTCTTGCACAGTTGAATTGTGAACTCATTCAAACTAAGACGACATATAGACTGCACATCTTTGGTTCCATAGGAAATGTTCAGCTTATTCTTAAAATGCTGTATATTTACTCATAAAATTAAGCAAAACAGAATGGAATGAAAGATTTATCTAAGATTCCCTCCCTTCTTAAGCAACAGGCTTACACTTGTGGTAGAAAGGAGGCAAAATAAAACATCTGTGTTCAATAAAAAGCTGTGTCTGTCTTAAGTTATTGTCAGCCATAAATTCACATATAGCCCCCTAGGGCTTGTTCCCACTCCTTTTCCGATACCTCCCCAAGATCTTCTTGCCAAAGCAAAATTTTGTTTAAGTTCTGGTAAAAGAGGCACACTTTAATGTCAGATAGTTTCTCAATATAAAATCCTTTTGAGAACGATTCATAGCCAGTAGCAATTCTCAGGGATGTATTGGAAGAGGCTTATTTCTACTGAATAGTTTTCTATACATAAAATCCTTGGCCTGAAGGTTGCAATAAAGTATGCCTCTAAGTCTTGAAGCGAATCTTAAGATACAGAGTAATAAGCTACCATAAAACTGTTCCTGTCTGAAGTGGCATTTCACAGTGTCAGTTAAGTACTTAACTGCAACCACAATGAAGTATGATGCATGTTAGTTATGAAACATAAGCCAACTACTAGAGACCCTACCACAGATTAGCTCTTACCTATGTATTCGAACTCCTCCTTCAAAGCCATACCATTGTGAGAAAAACACTGCTGACATATAAGGGCATACCTAGAAAACAGGTATACAATTACATACCTTAAACTAGTAACACACTGAAGTGATATGCATTTTACATTAGATATTGACTAATAGCTTATATTTTTACTCTTAAAAGGTAATTTCCAGAGTGGAATTATTATCCTTTAAAGCAAACTACATCTGTTAGTTAAATAATAGTTTTTAAAGTTGGTTTAAAAACAGTGAAATATTCTTAGCTACAACTTAAACCTCATGGTTCAACCTATTCTTAATATCATCATTGTCACAAAACAACATCAAAATTAAGTTTATATTTCATTAGAATACAGTCAATATGAAAAGTGACCATGGTTAACATTAAGTTCTAATATGTTTGGACAGTTCTGAAGGCAATCTGAAAGCTTTTATAATGGTAATAAAGCTGAAGTGCTAACATACTCAATTTTTTTTTAGTTCAAAATACAATTCATTCACCCATTTGAGCATAGATTTTTCTCTTCGTATCACATGGCTAATACCACCCAAAGTGGAGGTGGTATTTGTCAAAATGTTTTTGACAAATTTGTTTCTAGCCTTAAAACAGAAGATGCTAGGCACAATGAGCAAAACATGATCTGGTAAGAAACTAAGTCTGAATCATGCAGATGTGACCATTCAAACCTAAGTATCTGAAACTTCTTCCCGAAGCCACGCTCCTGGCCAAGAGACATTTTACACAAGTACAGAAGGCATTAAGTTACAGTAATTCCAACAAATTTGGCTAACATTGACTAACCATTTTTCCTACAGAGAGATTTCAGGTGAAGCACCGAGAAAGGGCCATTTCATTACAAAAACTTCAGACAAATTAATTTGCAGTTCTTTTAACCTTGACACATCTGGCTTAAAAACCAAAAGGTTAAGAAGCTTTCTATCTCTTAAATGTTTAGGTACTTCCTTTAGCAACATTTACCTGTTCTGAGGACCATCACCAACCAAATATTCAATAACTCTATCAACAACTCCTCTTTCTCGAGGAAGAATAGGTCTTGCTAAAGGAGGTCCTGGAGGATGAAGACCTAGAAAGACACGAACTGTGTCAAAATTATTTTCAACTATATTATCATATATAACCTGATATTTCACTGTGCATGCCAGTGTAATAAAATAATTGCACCTGCTTAATATACGTGGCCATATTTCTTAGTCCACTATGAAAGCTGTAAGATTTTTTTTTTTAAACTCACAATAGTTGAAAGTTCCTCTTCTGCTCCTTTATCTGATAATCTTATTAAATTACTCTACTTTTACACCTTGGATATGTAATTACATTTATAATTTCTAAAGAACTTAAGGCGTCAATGATATTTAATGATTATTCACAAATAGAGGCTTTTCAAGCAAACAAAAACTCCTTATTTGAGTTTTTTACATATAATCTCAACTCTGTACATTCAATACTTCAAGCTTACACCAATAAATCTGGTAAAATCAATTACAACAGTGTAAGAACTAAAGATGTTACCACAGAATTACCTGCTGGTTTCTGTGTAATTACTATACCACATGAGCATGCCCTCAGTGTGCATTCAGTCTACATATTAAATCTGTCTAGTCACATGGCATTTTGGTAATCCCATGTTTAATGGAAAGCTGGATGCTTTCAGATTTTTGCTTAGTCAAGGAAGCCAGAAGGCCACTATTTAGATACTATTTTTCATATCCCATGTGTTTAACAAACCATTATCAAAATAAAACTCCATTAAGGACAGGTAACCACACCAGTTGTTACCACCTTCTTCAACTCTGCTTACCGATGGCAGTTCAAGTAGACCAGTGGCACAAACTTGTCTTTCCACAACATTTTAAAACATCTAGTCTATTGTACACAACCACCACAAGCTGCCAATTTCCATTTACACTTCTTTGAGTTCGTATGTTTACCTCCCTTTCCAGCCTTAAAACAGAAGATGCTAGGGACAATGAGTAAAACACGATTTGGTAAGAAACTAAGTCTGAATCACTTAGATGTGACCATTCAAAACTAAGTATCTGAAACTTCTTCCCGGAGCCACGCTCCTGGCCAAGATCAGAAGGACATTTAATTGAAGATAACCATGGAAAAAGCCAGTGGACATCAAGCTTCTCAGAAGACAGATTTAGCTTTCTTGTAGCACCTTAGCTGGGGACAGCACCAGGACATGCACAGCCACAGCTTCCAACACAACTGATACTCTTCCATAAACATATGAACAGAAGTAACATGTACCTCTTAAGTATACACAAGCAAAGACAACACTGCAAGTCTTATTATTTGATAAGCTGATCCAAGATGGGCTTTAAGTTTAAACAGAGCATTAAATGTAACTGCCAGCAATTACCATCTCAAGCCTTCTACCTTTTAATCATCACAGATTGGAGCAACAAAGGGAAAAGAGTAACTTACAGCAGAATGTGCTACATTGTGGTAAACCTCAAGCTGGATGCCATGTACAACTAACCTCCATCCTCTATGGCAAACGTCAGAAGCATTGTAAGAATCAAATATTTTCAGCAATGCCCTATCGAAGTGCTACATGTAGAATGAGACTAACTTTGCCGTTAAGGTTGCAACATTTCTAACAGCACAGACTTCCAAAACACCTCTCATCAATACTAGATAAGTGACCTAAGCAGACTGTCCTAATCTTTACAAGCCCAATAAAATTTGACCAGAAAATACTGCAATTTACAACCTTTCAATAAGCGCACAAAGGTTTCATGGTCAACACAAATGCTTTTAAAACAACCCTCATTTTCACAAGAAAACTGAATTCAGGAGATATCAGCAAATGCATTCCCAAATTATTCCCATATTCTGTCAACAAGGAGGAACCCAGACTAAGAAAACCCTCACAGCAACAAGGCAGAACAAATTCAGTGCAACAGAAAATGGACCTAATGCTTCACTTTATACATTCTGAAAACACTGTCCAGAGAAGAGTTCAGGCAAAATGCATTTCCTAAAGCTTCACAAAAACCTGAAAGACCCAATACTTCCATTAAAAAAAGTGAATGGACAACATCTGACACAGGTGTGAAGTAAAGATCTGGAGCACTGATATAATCTGCAATAAAATTAAAATTCTACAATAAATTTTGTGAATACCTGACTAACACTCAAATGTCCATTCAGCCCTATATTCAAAAGACCAGTTTTTCATATGACCTGTATATCACTAATATATGAAAAGTTTCTAGAAGTTAATGAACGAGGTAAAAATTAAAATTACGTAGAATGCAACATCACAACACGCTCCAAGAACAAGTTCAATTACTTGCCTACTAATAACTCAAACCAACCATCTTAGTTCCCATGCTGTTACAGACACCAGTAATTAATAATAAACATCAAAAGCAATCATTGTAGAAAGACTGGTCATTTCTGCAAAGCTTGGCAAACTCTCAACTACCTGCTGGTTATTAATTTTCAAACATATGGGAGCTCTGTGGTAATACACATTAAATTGATTCTCCTCTACAAAATATAGTGTAACAAAAATGAATTATTAATCTTCTCCAAAGTAGAGACAATTAAGGCTATCATATTTGTTGCAAGCCATGCATAAACTTAGATGAAATTATATTACTTTTATAGATACTGAATTTACATACTTTTCACTACAGCTACATGACTGACATTTTATGGGCCTGGAAGGTTTAGGGAAATTCAAGAGAAAACAGGGCTTCCACATTAACTGACAACTGAGCAGCTTCCATTGTTGTCTAAGACAAAATAACATATTTGGTCAAAATACCAGTTATTAGTGAAAAAGATTTATATGTGCCTATAAAGCATTATCACAAAAAATATATTACATACTTTAATTAACAGGCTTGGCAACTGCCCTTTCAAACAAGTCCATTTTTTTTTCCTTCTTCCTCTAAACCATTACTGCAGTAAAGGCTGAACTTCATCCAGCTTATTCAATGTGCCTGAATCTTCCCCTAAGAATAAAACTATTACATACTTATTATTTTACTATATAGCCAGCTTCTTAAACAAGAAAGAGCATGTGATTTTAAACTCATTAAGGAATTTTCAGTAAGCAGGTTTCAGTAAACGTGGTTTGTAAGCAAATAACCAATTTCCTGGTGCAAGGAGCTGATTTCTGGTAATTCAAGATAATCAAGACTTAGTAATAACTTGCTTTAACAGTTCACTTCAGGGATAAAAACAAATTTAGCAGTTCCATAATACAGGTAAACAATTACTAACAAAAAATAAGGCCTAACAGACTCTGCAGAGAAGTGAGAGCGCACAATTTTTCATGACAAGTTTGTTCCACTACAGTAAGCAATACGAACAGGCATGTTAACATTCAGCTGCCCAAGATCTTCCATTAAGAGACCAAGTGTCAATATATTATGTATAGTCCTACTTTTAGATCGTATCATGGAAGTTAGTAAGCAAAGACATACAGTTTACAAGACTTAAGTAACTTAAAGTTAAAAATCAGGAACACAGGGCAGAGAAAAATATTCTTGATCACTGTATAAAGAGCAAAGAACTACTCCACATTACAGTGGTGCTCAGAAGATTCTTGGCAAGTTGCATCCCTTCTATTTTCAAGACAGCATTTCATCTCCTTTCTTGCCTTGTGATCCAACTTGCCAGACATCCTGCAACAAATGAAAGGCCTGGCACTAAGCCATACACAGCTTTACTATCCATGAGAACGAGTACACCACCTCCTCCCCAAAACTCAAGTTTTGCTACCTTCCTATGGAATTTACTTCACATTCTATTTAATAAAGCCCATCCCATCTGATCACCAAGACAGAAATCAAAGGAAAAGCATTTTCAGGATATGAAACCGAATTTTACAGAGCACTCATTTCTACCAGATTTCAAGCTGTTGCTAAACTTTTGACTCTTGTACCAAAATAACAATGTGATTTTAGAATTCAGATGCAACATAGACAACTTTTCTGGTGGATTTGCTATTTTACACTTTAATCTATGAGTATATATTGCATGACTATACCTCCTAGAGTAAAAATTTAAATAAATGTCAAGATGCATGTTAAAAAATATGTGCAGAGTTTAGTGAGAAACATGAATGTATTCTGAACGTGTTCTCCTCTGTACCTGATTTATATAAGCGTAGAGCTCTTCTAAACGAAGAACATAAAAAGGTATGCTATATTGTTGACTACAGAATACTGCAAAGTTTTATTGCCATTTAAACAAAGAAGCCATAACAGTTAAATGAGCTCAGGCAATAGGTTTCAGCATCAAAAGGTGCCAGCTGTAAAGAGTTATGGCTAATTGAATATGGAACTCCTGCTTAATCAGATAACTGCTCTGCTATTTCCAAATGAAATGCCATTTCCATACTGTCTGAAAACGGCCTATTTTATTGGTAACCAGAGAAAACAATATAAACTGTAAATAACATTAAGTGCTCTGTTTACCCATTCCAGGCACTGAAGTAGCGGGGGATCCAGGGCGTCTTTGTAAAACGTTTGACTGCAAGGATGGCACAACAGCTCTTTCTGGGGGTCCACTCAGAGCTGATGCGTCTCTCTGCAGGTTAGGAGATGCTGGAACCAGTGTTTTTGGAGAGCTTTGTTTAGGAGTTGTAGGTGGGGGCGTAGAAGCATTTCTTTGGGCTGTGGTCCTCTGACGAATTTCTGACAAGAACAAGCGCATACTGAATTAAACATCTAGCTTTATAAGCAAGAGATTAGTAAAAGTACATTAATATTGTTAATCCAGTCAGCAAATTACAGTCTCAAACAAAACCAGAAAGGTCTATAACTAAAGATCACCAGCTGCCTGACTGAGCATGTCATAGAAATAAACCCCACACAAAATAACGTATTTTAATAGCAATAATAATTAACTGTTAATACTTAGGGCAAAATTCTTCTAGAAGAAAATTAGCAGATACCTACCTTACAATTCTGTTCTTTAAGGCAGAACGCTGAAGATAGGAACAGCTAGATTCAAACCACAATGGCCAGAACTGACCCCTGTTTTACTCTATGGTTTAAACATGCTTCCAAGTATTTAGCTTTCCATGGGACCAAAAACTATTCATTCAATGTCTAAAATATCCAGGTGAGTGCCCAGAGTTACTAAATTTTTTTCAGATTGGAGAAATGAAACAATTCTAAAGCCAGAAGAAAACATAATGCCTCATTCAGATCATATAGTTTGGTTTTTTTTCAAAAACTCTACCAACAAGCCACATGTTGGATTGTTACAAAGCAAGAACAAGCTCTGCTGGAACATGTCCTTACTTTCACCTCTTCTCACTCCACTATCAGATTTCCTGTTAAATTACTATTATGAAAAACTTAACAGGTTTCCTCAGTTCTTCTCACCTGAAGCCAGAGTTCTCATTAAGACCAATGGGAATATCATCCCAGTAACATATTAAGCTTTGGATATTATTCATGCAAACCTGAAGTTCCATTATATTTGTTCCTGATGAAAGTTTGTTCCTGAAAACAAGCCAGGAACAATGCTCATAAACAGCAGTCACTATTACCTATTTCTCATCCCACCTATACCTAATCACCTCTAGGGAACCTTTGAAATACACTATTGCAACAAATCAAATTGAAATGTAACCCTCACTTTCAGGCTGCGGACATAAACTTGGTTAACAAGTGACAGCTTAGCCTCTAAAAGGTACACCCCAAGAATGCCTACACTTAAGCCTATAGTACCCTATAGAGTTAGTGTCTACCACCCACATTATTTTGAACAAGCTCGTTTGTCTTCCTTCACAACAAATGGAATTTAACACTAGAACTGGACTTTAAATTTATGTCCCCGAGTTTCAAGATTAGAGAGATTTTTATCTGCTGACTTGTGTCAGGCTGGAAGAGTTTAAATCCTTAGCAGGCAGTTTACAGGTCCACTGGCAACCAGCCATACGGAGACGGGTGTGCTGAAGTTTGAAGTTTGTCCCTGAAAGTACAATACTACCCAAGCTAAGCTTCTGTATGGGCTGGAGGAGGCAGGGAGTGTGCAACATCAGCTGACACTAGCTAAGAAAGACTTGCTATCACTGGAGTAGTAGGTCAAACATAAGAAGTCCTGTTGGAAAATTGCCAACATCTAGTGCCACGAAATTGCAACATATATAGGCTATGTTCTTGCCTACTTACCTCTACATATAAATAGGATTAATATACACCAGAAGAAAGAATAAAAGACTCTTTGGTATCATCAGTTAGAAGACGATGACTGCACAAAGTCTTACTAAAAATCCACCTAGTTCAGTTTCCTACAGAGCAGAACAGATTACTAGTTTTCCCCTGCCACACCTTCATGTGCATGACTGCATTACTTCACACAACTTTATCATCCAAGTTAGATTACCCAATGAGTGCAAAGATTCTGTCTTTTAAATTGGCTTTAGCAAGTGAAGTTTGTCCCCTCACTACTTCTACTGTTCAGAATCTGAAAACCAGGATAAATTGGTGAGGTAGTTGCAGAAATTCCTCGGTGACTTGTTTCTATTTTGAAAACTGCTCCTGTGTTGAAAGTTTTGTTTTAATCAAGAATTCATTTATGATGAATCTCACCATTGACATTTCTTTGAGAGCTTCCTGTGAGAGTCCTTAGTAGTAACCTTTCAAATCTAACTGCACTAGAATAATTGCATTATTCTCTCCATACCATCTGACCAACAGGCATGACTCATCTACAAACAATATACTGATTCTGCCCCATGATTTATCCATCCATACATTCAAGTTTGTTTTATAGTTTCTACTCATGTACTAGTTTCAAAAATCAAGTTAAAGGTATGCAACTTCTTAATTCTTTTCAGCTCCACAGATCTCTAAAAAATCAGCGATAAATATGAAGCTTGACTCCACTTGTTCCAAGATAATTTTAAATACCTATAAAAAGACATTTCAATCCACTGCTAAGACTTTCTTCATTCTTTTTCATTACGAAGTCTGCTTTATTATGGTTTTACATATAAAAATGTCAAAGGTCATGATTGTAACTTCTACATAAGGATGTTACTTCTACATTTTGAAGGTTGTCTTCCTATATCATGTGGTTTAAGCAAGTCAATTTTGGTTGCTTAACAGCTCTGAGTCTGTCTTCATAGGTCACAGGTATATCCGCATTTATTCTCAGCCCATAATACACTATTTCTAAGCAATTTCCATGCCACCTGCAAGAGCTTTGCCCCTTTCACCTGTTTTTTCTGAAGGGTCATTTTTGGCAAGCCTCCTTTAAAAAGGCTTTCAATTTTTAAAGTTACTGCTACTTTAATGATTCTTTCCCCGTATTTTTTTCTCATACAAAGATGCTGAACCCAAGTACTCTACAGTCAGTATTAGGGAGATGTGCCTTAGTAGTTTTAGTCTCATTACAGAGGTAAGAATGCAAGACTCATTGCTAGTTTCCACAAAACGATATAAGGTTATTCACAAGGCTTCCCCCCCACCTCCACTTACGAGTTCATTTTGTTTTCACTCTAGTCTTATTTCATAGTTAAGAGAACTTGCCAACACTTCCCTGCTCCCCAAGTAAAAGAAGTTACCAGGAGAACTTACATTATGAGAAAATGAGAAACGCTCTCATTGGCAAGACCAATAGCCCCATCCATCCTAGTATTTCATCTCTTAGAGTGGTTGTAGATGTTACTTAATGACAACACACAAACCTGAATGCTTTCTGTTGCCTACATCTCTGATACAACCCCCAGGATCCATAAATGCATTGTCGGGGACACTAAGCTTAGAGTACAGCCCTATCTAATCATCTTAGTATCTTATATGGACACTGTTGCCCATGAACTCCTCTAATTCCTTTTAAACCTGCTGTTCGCATCCACAATAACAGCCGTAATTTTTCTGCACTAACTGAATATGATCTATATACTTCTTAAATTGCCTTATGTTGAGATGCAATGTGTTAATGATGAGCCTCTTGCAAAGTTCCAGATTTCCGTAACTCGGGTTCCACGAGTTAGCTGAGTAACACATCTGTTGGCTCTCAAAGCTAACACAATATACAGCTTCTGCTGAAGTAGTTTTAATGAAGTTTTGCAGTTTTCCAAGGTTTTTTATTCCCTGAATAATTTTTGTGCATCTGCAAACCAACTGTATGAAGACAGATAAATAACTTAAAAATAGAACATTTATTCTTCAAGAACACTGGAGTCCAAATTCCGCAGTTAACTGGCACTGAACAATACAGATATATAAGCACACATTATTTAACAGGGCTACTACTCACATCTGATGATTCAGTATGATCTATTAAAGAATATTAAGGTATTGCCACTGGCAAGACAGCTGTATCTTTCATGTTTACAAACATAACTATTTTATTTCTCCCTCACTTCAAAACTCCTTGATTTTTTTTAGAGAATACACCATTTTTAAAGAGCTAGAGCACAGCACAGGTCAATATATAGTTCACATAACTTACTGGCTTTAGTGGAAAAGACCAATCAAGAAATTTGTTTCTTCCTTCTCATGCCTCCTCCTCATCCCACAGCTTGCAACCATCTGGTATTGCATTATTTTTAATTCAGGTCATAGAGTGATCTCATTTACAATACAGCCTTGCTAACAGTTGTATTAAGACAACCAAGGGAACAGGTATCAACAACAGGATATTGTTGATAAATATTTATTCCACTGCCAATATATACTTACCCTATCACCCTTTTTTTTTTCCTTACAGCCTAAGTACTGAATAACTATATGCTCATTAACTTTACCCATTAAAACATTTCTGAATAGATAGAAGTGCACTTAGGTTTTCAAATTCCTTTCCTTCTGAATTTCCAGGTGCTTTCTTATGCCAAACTAAAGATTTATCCAAATCATCTGTTAAAATTACAATTATTTAAGTGCATGTCAATCACAAAAACCTGCAAAAGGAGCTAAATACATATGAAAATTGGAGGTCTACCACTTATTTTCCTGAGAACCAACAATGCTGATTAAATCTTTGTACTAATTACCATGATGCACAAGTTTCCATTTCAACTAGGAAGTCAAAAACATACCAGCTAACTAACCTTTCATCAGCTGCCTCATACATAACATTGTCCAACCTGATTACACGCTGGTCATTATTTACCCTCTTTTCAAAAAGACTCAATTACAGAGCTCAAGATAAAAGAGCTCTGCTGCCTGGCTAGTTTGTGTCCAAAGTGAGCAAAGAGAAGATCAAGGAAGCTTTAATATTAACCTGTTAACAGATATTTTATTATTCCAAATCACTATAATCCTACCACATATTGCATGTACCAAATTACACCACAATCACGTTAAGGTGTCATCTAGTTACAATAAGATATATACTGCACAGAACAGAAGCTAATATTTGTTTTCGGCAGATATTATTTAGTGTGAACACCAATAAGCTAGTAGTTTTTTGATAACTAAAAGTTGAAATAATTACTGCACATACCAAGAACAGGTTATTTAAAGTCTCCACAATTTCACAAGCTAAAGCCAAATACAGCATGTCTCCTGAACTAGAATGCATCTACAAAATACAATAATCTAAATATCAACTTTTATATGCACAAAAAGCAGCAGCAGTTCTAAATTTAATGTGTTAGAGAACAGACTGGAAAAAGAGAAAAAAAGGATTTTTTTCTGCGTATGAACAAAGCTACACAGAATCATAGAATCATTTAGGCTGGAAAAGACCTTGAAGGTCATTGAATCCAACTGTAAACCACAATAACTTACAAAATCTATTTTCCAAAATCCTTTCCAAGACTAAACTGCACTTTTATTCAGGATGAAGTAAATTGCTTACTTTAATGTGGATGCACCCAGAGAAGTTGAATAATATTTGAATCAGAAGTGTACTTTACATTTTCTCAGTTGTGTCCCCACTTAGAGGTGTCTCATTCACACCACAACACAGTCTCAGAGAGCAGCACTTCCATTCTTCTCAAATGAAACTGAAAGATGTCTTCCATCAGGTCCACAAGACCAGTTTACAGCTAGCCCTAAATAAAAACCCCTAAACATATATAGTGTGGACAAATTCCTCAGAAAAAAGTTTCACTCTACAAATCTACTCCTCTTACATCACGTTTATTAATGTAGTCCACAGTCTATAGTGGCTGGGTCTCAGAAATACTTCTAACTCTCCCAGAGCCTCTCCCTCACAGCCCTTCTATTAACAGTCAAAATCAACACAACACACCGCATGTATGCTGGACCAAACTAACCTGCTTTTGACTAACTCAGAACCCTGGATCAAAAGCACACACACTGTGCTCTGTAAATGCAAACATACACAAGACTAGTTAACTAACAGAGACTGAGCAACTCACTTGTCACCATCACTACTTACACAGCCTGGGCAGAGGGGAAGAAAATAATATAACTCTTAGGAGTTTCAAAAATGCTGGTGATATCTCTTAATAAAGCCAGGGTGACTAAAGCCTCCTCATTGTCTATTTAATTTATAGGTAGTTATCTCTACATAGACACACACAGTTCCAGGCAGTTTCATCCCCTGGTCAGCATTACTTGCATTCTACAAACACATCTGTCATCCTGCTTCTGGAGTGATTTCTAACATATCTCAAGGAGAAGGATGAGTATAAAGAGTTTAAAAAAAAAACCTACCTAAACATTACAGGTATGACAAAATTCTTGGCAACCACCCATGAGCTGTATTAAGACAGAGAGCAAAACAGGGTGTCAGAATGGCCCTTCAGCCTTAAACTATGAATGCCACAGAAATTGAATGATAGGAGAGACAGGTAAGGAGCAAACTTGAGAAAAACTGTTGTGCCTGGGACACCAGAAGAGAGAAAAGCTTTACTGCTAACACACTGCACTGCAACTACTCACTGTCAATGTCAACAAGTAAGCATCAGCTAAAAATGTTTTCATGACAATTTGAAGCTAAGCTAGAAGAACAAACAGCTTATTAACACCTTTGTTAGTAAATCCAGGTGCTCTGCACCCATCAAAACCAGCACTCCAAGAGCTAAAAATAAGACAAATGAAGTTTTGGTTACTCACAAAAATTAGACATAAAGTTGACAATTCCAATACATGCGCTAAAGCAATCTGTCTATTTTATGGAAAATTATGCACATCAGATTCTGCAGTTCATTTTGAGCACCAGCCCCTACAGGTCTAAGATGGTTAGAACAGCAAATTAGTACCCACACTTGGAGACAGCTCTTTATAGGTATCTTCAGTATTATAATATAAGGTGGCCTTTTATACTGTGTTAATACTAGTATTTTCAGTTTAACTAGAGCATATTATACTCAACTTTAAGGAAAACTTAACAGTAGTTTGTTTGCAGAAATATTTTTTTAATTTATAGTCCACATTTTTAATGCAAACATTCTACTGAGAGAGGGTGGGGGAGAGATCTTTTCAGTCTTGAAACCAGTGTGTGCAACCTAGAAACAAAGCTTCCTTGAAACCCATGCAAGTTTTCTCTATTTATTTTACTATTTTATTAAATAGCACCTTTACATGGAACATCATAAACTAGTACAGAACTGTCCATTCTTTGTATCTAGAAAATATCCAATTTCTGCACTAGTTTTGTGGAATCTCTCCATCCCACCATATAAAAGTAGTTTAAGCACGGCATTAGGAAAGGTCTAACTAGCCAGAAATAGAAACAAAATTGAAAAGCTAAGCCAATGAACATTATGTAAGATTTGAAAGCACCTTAGTATTCTAGAAAAATTGTAACTATGCCACAAGAAGTAAATTTTCTCTCTGCTTTAGCATCAAGCAGCACTAAACATCCTGCTGTCTAGAAGAGCATCAGCTTTCAGTAATAGAGCCCTTGTCTGAAAAATACAGAACGGTAATGGGCATAGTCTAATAAACAGTCTATTAACCCTAAATAAAGGTCAATTGATCTACAAATTTTATCACAGAAAGACTTCTAGAGTGGAAATTGCTATGAAAGACAAGTATCTATGCTAAAGAGCAGCCATTTTACAGGGCTATTACCTTGTCCAGGTCTTGGGGTTGCAGATGTTCCGGCAGATGGCAGTTCAGCCTCCTGCCAATTAATTATAAATAACGTTATCTGAATGTTCAAGTTCCATAGTACCTTTCATATTAAATCAGTATCAAATCACCATCAATACCAAGATTCTTACCTTTGCACTTGATTCTGGATCAAACCTTTCAAGGATTAATTTAGCAGTCTTGTACGTTTCTTTCTCCATTACTTCCTCAAGCTGGAAACAAAAGGTTCCACATATCAATACAGAATTCTTCAAAGTATTGTCCCCCATATCCTCTCACTTACAAGCAACTTATTAATGCTTCCAAAAGGTGAAGCTTAGTCCAGTAAACCAGCATACCTGCAGATTTGCTGTATTCAATGGAAATGAAATTTTGCTTTCAAAAATAGTTTCTAAACTCTAATGGGCTACTTGTATTTAACAGCTTTATTGCAAGAAAACACCAAATAGCACTAATTGTTTACATATAATGAGGAGAATAATTACATGCACCAACTTCAATAATGGAATGTGCAAAAATCTATCAGCCATCATTATTGGAAGTTATTAGACATGACAAGCGAATGACAGGCAATTCCTTAGATTTATTTCCTCATAGCACTTAATGCTATTAATTTAAGGAAGGTCGTTAGCCAAGCGCTTTACAGAATAAAGTCTCTGTGCCAATTACCTGCTGTCAGCATCGATTTTAGATTATTTATTAGCAGAAGCAATTAGCTTGCTGCAAATGCTGTGAAAACTCACTAAATAGGGAACAGCCATGGAATTTACTCAAATGACTTTAAAGGCTGTATCTCCATCTTTACAGTGATTCAAACTGCTTTTCAGAAAAAAAGGGAACATGTTAAGAATTTAAATAAAAAAATTTACTGAGAACTATGCATACTTTAGGGAGTGTAATTAAAGCACTTCATTATTACAGCATTTTATTTACAATGCACTCAAGTGGCTTTATAGCTAATACATGGGCTTAATTAAAAAAGTAATCACTAGTAAAGTATCATTTTAGCAGTTAACAGCCAGCATCAGAAGCAGCTTAACTTTAAAACAGAGATAGTTGAAGTTATGACAAATAGATAATATGTACAGAAATTGTAACATATTTTACTGTATCTTAAGCAGACCTTTCCTCCTAGATATGCTGACTAATGGCCGTGTTCAGCTAGAAGGGGGGGTTGTTTGTTCTTAGGTTTGCTGTTGGCATAAACCGCAAAACTGAAAAGGTCAGTGGTCAAAAAATTAAGTTCTCTCAAACTCATTTATCACTGCTAAAATAACAAATGGTGCACATTAACATGACTTTTACACTATTATTTAGCTAGTGGGAAACTAAAGTTTCAGCCATTCTGCGCATACAGACCTCGTAGGGGTTTTACCTTTAGACAGATCTCAGAATTACAAATAGACCTCAGAAGCTAAATAAAATTCACTCAATTTAATGGATACACAGTATCCATTTAAGAGCTCGCTCCTACACACACTACCAGAAGTTTAAGGCAAGGAATACTACCCAGGCTGTTAATTAAGGACTATTGAAACAAAAAGGGAGTGAAGAGGGAAGTAAAAATCAATTTCCTAAACTTGTATTTCAGCAAGACTTTGCAGTTAACCCACTAACTTCATAAAACAAATGCCACACAGTGCAATAAGATCAGAATTAAGAGTCTAATAGGAAAAATAAAGTAGTTATTGCTTATAAAAGTGAAAACCATAAGGCAGACCTTTATATGAAGGGGCAAGGTTAGTGAGGTGAAGCTGCAAAGCGAGGAAGTGTTAACAGTCAGTGTCAATACCTGGCCCCCAAGTCAAAATAAAAACCCCGAGCCGCTCCACATCAATGAATGTATAGTGCATACAATTTCTTTATAGCCACACAAGAAAATGAGAAACAATCTTCTGCAGAACAAAGTGACTTTTAGGAAAAAAAAAAAAACAAACAGAATGCTCCACTATCACTTGACACTTTCCTTATCTAACGCACTCCTTGTTTTAGCAGTTTTAGATAGGATGGTAGTTATTTGTGGATATGTAAGTTTTGCAAAAACAGTAACATTATTTTGAAATGGAAAAATATAGCTCTCATCACAAGATTCGGATGTTAAAGCTATTCTTCACATTCTAAAGTTATTGGATAATTCAACAAGTTACTCTCTGTATTCTGAAATTCATATATAGCTTTATAATTCTAGTAAAGGTGAATCTGAACAAGAATTCCGTTTCACAACTTACTCTACAAATTTCTTGAAAATGCATGGAAATCGTCAAGATTTCTAGAAGCACACTCACAGTTCTGACCATTTCACTTCTAGAACATATTTTCATAAAATCAATTGGAATTTGGCTGACAATGCCAAATACCAAATCAAACAGGTTAAAGTTTACTTACTCTTCGAGCAAATTAGTATAATTACTAGAAGCAAATAAGGGCCTGTGTAAAATTTAAATACTATCTCTACATTTACATAGCAGAAGAAACTGGCTTGTGCACTGCCACAGCAAGCTCATTTATAAATGCAAATCAACATACTGCCTTCTGGATTATTTGCCATCCTGAAGCATAACCTTGGAAATGTTAACCTAGTGCTGAGCACTGGCTTGCTAACACAGCAAATTGCTCAACACCTCCTGCTCTTTTTCTACAATATACTCTTTTCTGAGATCCAAAACTTTCCCCACAAAAACATTTTCTACTTCCTGCCAAGGTCTAATTCATAGTCTATTAATGCTGAGTAACCAGGATCACAAGTGAAGTCTCTATGAAAGTTAGCAGCAGCCTAATCATAGATTTTTCAAACTTACTTCACAGAATTAACCACATCTTAATAAAGAAGTATGGTCATGTACCACATTCTCTTCTAGGAATAATTGCATGGATGGCCTCCTTTCCAACTGGCAGCCAAAGAGAATTCCTGTGGCAACAACATCAGTTGCCTATATTTAAAACTAATACGAGTAATGTATTTTAAGCTTCTTGTAAATGCAATTTAGCAACTGGAAGTCTGAAGTACTGGCACCATGCAAAGTACTTATTCGCCATACTACCACGTGAATTCTTAAATTTAATTACTCAGTGTGTCAAACCCAACTATGGAGAGGTATTTCTTTATGTTCAAACAAAGCCAAAAGAGTCATTTCATTCTACCATGTGAGATAAGCAAGTACACACAGCAAAAGTCTCCTTAAAACAGGAAATAAATCATTTAAGCCACGATAATCAAGTGTACTCCAGACAGATCCACGCAAACAGTAAAGCAAGCAAAGTAACGGTTTTGTGTGAACACTGCATGAAAGAAATACCTCATTCGATCATTCATCAGTAAATATGATTTTTAACCGTATTTTGGGCTTCCAAGTGCACGTTTTCAGTACTGTAGCATATACTGGGTAGACAAGACTGGGCTTATACAACAATCAGCTCCTAGTCGAGTAGAGTTTTGGTCACGTACTGAAAGTTATCAAAATATCTACAGTTTTCTATGCCTGGAAGGCTGAAGGTATAAAGTTCATTAAACAGTAATTATTTTAAACAAGAAAACAATGGAAAAAATGCAGCATATGAATTAACATAACTCCAAGGCAGCCTTGAAATCAGACCTCTCTCTTTCTTGGAAAATTAACAGATGCAACTGTCTAAATTCTTACTTGAAATGACTAGAAAGTCTGTCCAAGTCTAATATTACATTCAGCCTACTATCACAGCATAGCTAAGCAAACTTCAGCAAAGTTTAATTCTAACATTAGCAAAGTAATTACTATACTGGCTTCACAACTCTGTCCTCAGGCTAAGAATTATCGCATCTTTAAGACTACTGCTCCAGGTAAAGTCTCCACTAATTCCCACTTGTAGCAGCTTAATACATGTCCTGTGCCCTTGCTTTAATATGCTCAACCCTCTGAACTTGCTCATCTATACACATTGAGGCTTAAGGGCTGACATCCTCATTAACTGAGGACTCTAAGGCCAAAGTTACAGCTACACAATCACGAACACAATCAGAGTATCCCTTACAATCAAGGAGGGAAAACAAGTTGCACCTTGAAGTAGTGCCTTAATTATAGCTAATCAACTTAATCCCTACCCCCAATCCATAAAGAAACACTCAACACATTTTAAAGCATTCATTAAGAAAAAAGTAGTGTAGAGAGTCAGTTCTGTGGAAAACAAGTATTAACGAACTTTGAGTCAAAGTACAGGATAAACAATATTAATGGGAATTTCCAGATTAAGGATCCGTATTTGTGTTTGTCATGTATTTTACCCACATGAATATCCATGTGATTATGCCACCAAAGACTGGAGCCTTTCGAACAGGACTGAAGTTCTATTGAGCAGCTCACTGCATAGCCAACAGGGCACTATATCTCGTAGATGAGGAGCTTACTCTGTTACAGGTACACTTCAGCATGTAAGTAACATCATTAGGGAAAAGGTGGACCAAATGCCTGTAAAACACAAGTACTGTAACATTTTTCAAAAAGACAATTGTCTTCAATACAAGATTTCTCCAGCAATCAGGTAGTTGAGCTGCAACAAAGTGAAAATTGTTGTTGTGGCAGCTGACAGTGCCTACACAACAATCTGCACTACAAATAAACAGGAAATACATAATTTACTTATCCCAAATACTTTGATGATCACAACGTAAATATCTTAGTACCTAATCCTGTTTTCAAACTAAGTAGCAAATGAGAATCCAACAGGAGGAAAAAAAAAAATCCTCTCCCTCCCCCCTTCCCTGTATTTTACTTGGTAAAGGTTTTTGTTTTACTAAAAAGTAGGTGTTGCTAGTTATTCATAGCCACCAATAGTCCTAAGGAAGTTAATCCAACACAAAACCAAATCTGAATATCAAAACCAAATTACTACAGAATGCAATTTTATGAGTGGTTTTATCTAAAATACAAATTATATTCTGTCTCATTACCTGCATCCCCTTTCAGCTCATTTCAACATGCTGAAAGTTTCACGTATGATGACCTAATTTTAATGCTTAATTGAATACCTTTAAATTATGATGAAACTCCTGTGTAAAAAAAAAATACTAACACCACACCAATTCAAGCAGTTGCAATAAGTCTTCAGTTTCTGGGTCCTTTACTAGGAACCAGGCACCCACAAGATCAGGAGGTTATCATGGACTTTTTATTCCCCTCAGATTGAAAAATAGCCAAGTTATAGGCTATTGGACTTCCCAGAACTCCGTTTTACTAATCCTATTTAGAAGTTTGTCTTTAATCATTAAAGCTTGATATGCATATATACTAGTGGCAATTTATATTTCCAGGTTTAAACTCTCCGTAGTTACACTGCAGTGTCTATATTGTTCACAAAGGATTTGTGCAGTTTAATTTACTTTGATTTTTTTGCTATTCAAAATACACATTTACATCTTGTTTCAACAGCATCAGTTTTCAAAGTAATGACACTCTACCCTTTATAAACCAGCTTTTTCATGACTAATCTTTTATTCAATGCCTCTTCTCTAAAGAAGTGCTTCTCACACACAAAAATTCAGCATTACTAGTTCTTCTACAATAGATATAAAAATTTTCATGAGTACAGAAAAATAAACATATTTAACTGAAGTGAAGGCTTTACATTTAAGACTCAAAAAGCTATTCTGTTCTCCATTGTGCTTTTTCCTGTTCCAGGAACTTTCCCTCCAAATCTACTCAATGACTATGTCAATTGGAGAAATTAACTCATTTCAGTTAAGCAGTTTTCATAAAGTTAAAAACACAGTTATACTCATTTATTGCATTCTTAGGAAATGTAAGCCCCTCAAAACCCCTTTTTATCACCTCTCCAACCAAAGGACACTTCCATTTAATTAGATTCCTTAATATAAAGATTAGCAGATATTCCTCTTTACCAAAAGACAAAGACAGAATTAGGTTACAGATTATCATTTTTACATCTACATCTTAAAAGTGATAAAAAACAGAGTGGAAGATCAGTGAAATCTGTTTCCCCCTGTAAAGGCCATATAATACCAGACTCTTACCTGACTCCTTTTTGGCAGCTTTGCTTTGGGTTTTCTATTAATTTAAGCTAGCATGGCAAAATCCAGAAGGCATGAGGTGAAATTCATCAATAAAGCTTCATAATACAACTTTTCAAGTTTTGGGGCAGAGGAAGGGCTGTTAGGGGACAAGCTGGTTTTTGGTTGGTTGGGGGTTTTTTGTGTTTTGGTGGTGGTGGTTTTTAAGTTTTGCCTTGCAAGGCAGGAGATTAAGCAACAATGTAAGTAAACAGAGAACTTCCTTACAGAATGATTAAATAGAGAGAAAACGGCTTTCCGTGTTACAATTTTGCAAAGAGTGCAAATTATCTAACACTTGGTATCTTTTCCATTCTAAATTTGCCTTATTGAAATTAAGTGTTGATCCAGTTGAAGCAAACAAAAGTATAAAACTCATGTATGCCAGGTAACTCATCCACACAGCTCACAAAATAGATGACCTCAAGACACGCAATAGGATTGATACATGACGAGATAACTTTTTTAGAGGAAAGAATATAGTAATTATGTAGTACAAAAATAAGATTGAGGAGGATGGGAAATAAGTGGTGATGCATTTCAATATAAACAATAATCTGTTACTCGATGAAAAAGTGAATCCCGACAAGATGGAAGTCCTTTTTGCTATTTATGAACAAAACATTAAATGAGAGAGTAACTCTTAAAGATATAGTTGCACTCTATGTTCTTAAATCAGCACATCATCTAACACTTTTTATAATCCTAAAGTAAGAGTAGTAGTCAGCAATGAGTAGGTTAAAGCATACGTTTTCATTTTCTGACAAAATAAAATCAATTTACATAGATGTAGCAACAGTAGTTTTAAGCCAAACTACAAGGAGACAATTTATTCTCATATGCAAGCAGCCCTTTGTAATTTTGGGGCAAGGAAAACCTTGTGTGGTACTAACAACATATGAAACAGAGGAGTGATAATAGTTTCACCTTCCACTCTTCACCTGTGTATTACAATCAAACTCCACTTGTGGAGATGCAAAAACACTTCAGTGGACCATAACAACTAGCTTTTCTTGAAGTTTTTACTTACTATTTTTTTCTTTTGAGACTTTAATTCTTCCAGTGCATCATCTAAAAGAAGGACATCATCCATTAGTTTTCAAATATAAATAAGAGGTAATTTTAGCACACTCTGAACATTGACTTCGCCCTGTGAGATCAGGAACAATTACGCACTGACCACTACCAACCCTACAACGTTAGTAAACTTTGTATAAAATAACTAAAGTTTTTATGTGAAAATAAATCATTTTAAATCCCAAAACTGCTTATAAATTATAGCCCACTGTTATCACTTTACAGTTACAACTATTAAAAAGTTTTATGTACCATTTTGTCATTAGGCAAACCAATTCTAGCCAGTGCCCTGCTTTGACCTACATTAAAACTGGTACAACAATGGACCAAATACACTTAATCTCATGAGTCAAACTACAGAGAAAAAAAAAAGCTTGAGGTCTAAGTATTAATATATCTATTTGAGTACCAGATTTACTGGCTTCAGTATTTCATGTAAGCCTCTTAACACATGCTAGTTTTAAATGCCAGGTCAATTCTGAGCTTCAAATCTCAATCTCTTTCACCCTTTCAATACTTTCAGGCTACAGCAAAACCCCCAGTTTTGTAAGAAAAGCTATCAGAATGTCATTTTACTACTAAATGTTATGAGACTCCATTACAACTAGTAAGCACAGCACCTAACGTCTCCAAAAGGGAGGGGAAAAAAGAAAGGTCAAATGCACATGGGATTTCCCTTTAAGTCAGTGCTCGCAGCTTGTCACTCATGGAAAACTCCCTGTATTAAACCACTGCCTACTACAGAACATACTCTCTTGATAAATCCATTTTCTACTACCTCCTTCACAGCAAGGAGAATTTAACAAGAACTTTACAACTTTTTCCCCTTCTAAGCTCTAGTGGGCACCAGCAGGTCACTTCCTGCAAGATATAGCTAATTTTACCCATTTTTCAGTTTTCTAAAAAAGAAAATGCTTCATAGAACTACATGAAACAAAAAAAAAAACACCACCAAACTTAATAAATATACATAAAGATACAAAAAAGAATTTAAGTATGCTATACACACACCTTCTAAAGTTACTTCAGGAACACTACTGTTACTTGAAATTAAGGGAACACGTAATTACTTGAACTTTTACAGAATGCAGGAACCCATTTTGATAGAATGAACCACTTTATTAAATGTACAAAATACTAAAACTGAGTATGTACATATTTGAAAGTTTATGTAATGAAAGGGTAACTACAACAATCCCTTATTAGTTAAGACAAATAGGACATGGAAGAAGACCGTTTTTAGCACTGAGCTGGACCACAGAGGATAGACAATTCCAGGAATTGTGCATCTTCAAATTAATAAGGTACTTCACCAAATTTTACATTTCTATTAGAACATCACCTCTCATGTAGCCCCAAGATTAACACCTTGAAATGCACTGCAACATGCAGACAAACAACACGATACAGTCAGCTGTTAACAGTCATTTAAGAAACAGAAGCTGCTTTTGGTACAGAAATGCCTAGAACATCTTCAAGCATAGCCTCCCACAAAGCAATGCAAGCAGTTTAAAGCGTGGAAGTTTGTTTCTGATCACTTTACCTCCTATGTTCAATAAGAACGTCATAAAACACCTGCCCCTTCAAACATAGCCAAATGGCAATTACTGCAAAGTACTCTCAAGAATCTCATCCTAATTAAACATATAGAACAAAAGAATTCATACTAGAAAAGTCAATACCTGCAAGATACCTCTTATTTTCCCCACGCTTTGGGACAGAACAACCTAAATCTTCCCCAACAGTTCTCTGCCTGACCAGTCTTAAAAACTGAAATTCCGTAATCTCTCTACATCATCTGTCCTAGGGTTTCACCAGGAATTTTCCTCATTCAGAGCATGATTCCCAAACCTGGTGCATGCCAGTTATCCAGCATAGAGCTTTACAGTATTAGATAATCACCTTCAGTGACTCAATGTGTTCTATCAGCTTATGCCAGAATAAAAGGCTAGCTTTGAGCCACTCAGTTGCCAGTTTGCTCTCGGCTACGTTTTCTCCTGCTTTACTGCTGTAACTCTTGCACTGCGCATTTGATTTGTCTTCCAAATACAGGACTTGTATCTCTGAGGTAAAACACTTCATTTTTAACCAATCTCTGGAACAATGCAGAAATAATTCCTTTTGGCATGTTCTAACATCTACTAAAACCCTTTATACATAGGTTCAACAAAAGCACTAGACTTGCTTATATGCTAAAAACAGCAATAAAGAGATTTAAGCAAACCAGAAAGACAGACATACATACTTTTTTCTTCTTAGCCAGCAAATATATATTCACTTTAGAAATGAATCACACAGCACCACAGAATATATGGACAATTTTATTTCTACACAAAAATGTACATCCTATGCTTGCATATCAAATGCAAACATTAAGTTTAAGAAAAATTCCAAAAGTGATGTTTAACTCTTAAGCTGGCACAAATTAAATACAACATGTTGTTCTGCAAGTCATAAAACATAGTGCAACATTCAGATTTTCCTCTATTATTGCTCACATCACTGTGAGATATTGTTACAGGCTGGACTGCTTTCAAAGAAAGTTTCAAATTAATTCTAACTACTGCAGACAACTGCCACAGATGCAGTTTTTAAATTTTGCATTAGAATGAATCTGTATGTTCTGTAACAACTATATATATTTGAACACCTGCTTCACTTTTTTTTGTTACATGAATCCCAGTTTTCCTTAGCTCTCAAAACAGCACAAAAAACCTGCTATAAGTCTCTTATACATCAAGATAACAGATTAAGACTGCTAGAATACTTGCAAGACACCAGTATTAAGGGAACTACTACTATTGTTCGTATTTCCTTTTCTTCACTCCTACTTCTGCACTACATTTTACTCTATTACACTTTAAAGTGTGTAAGTAAAGCGTGGAAGCAAAGACAGAAGAAAGTTACCAGAATTTTGTAAGTGAAATGAAAGACTAAGCAGCTTCCTGTTCTTTCAAGAACTGTGTGAGAAACAAGTTTAGCTAATGCTACCCATTTCAGCATCAACCAAAACACTACTCTCTTCCTGGAAGCCAAATTATCCAAAACATTTACATTTTCATAGCAAGCATCATTCCCAACTAGTTCCATATTCTTAAAAAAAGACAAAAAAATACTTACTATTCCTTTCTGTCCTTTTGGAAAAGAAAAAAATGAGCAGTGTTCTTATAAACCAGATTCTTTAAAACAGAAAGAAGAATTATATTAATTAAAATATATTACAGTAACCATTTCTGAAGTCATTTAGCAAACAGGTCAGTTAATGCAGAAGACCTACCTGATGAGATTTAACTTTGCAAATACAAAGAACAGAAGTCTTCAAACAAAATTTATACAGAAAACTAAAAATTCAATTAGTATCTTGTCAACAAAACATCCAACATCAACCTAAATAAAATCCTCCCATCTATTAAAATTTAACCAAGCATCACTATAGGTAGAGATACTAAGGAGGCAGCAGCAAGTAACATCATTATTTGCTAAAATGTTCAGTGGGAACTTTTTAAAATCAAGGTATGTGCAGCTAGATGAAAATTACTTAGTCATCACTTCTTATTTGATAGATTTATGATGCATGTTATCCAGAAAACCAAGCTTACCAGCTAAGGTCCAAAATTAAGACCCAGGAGATTTGTGGGAAGAATTCAATACCAATGAAAAACATAAGATAAGTTTATTGTACAAATGTTCTCCCAAGCAGAGTTAACTGACCTGATTCCTGGCAATTTTAGAGCTCTGAATCCACTCAGTTTCTGTAGGGTTTCAGCTGACTTAGCTCAAACAATGGAGCAGTTTATCTGTGCTCAAGATAAAGTTAAACTGATCTATGATCATTTTACATCTGAAAGGTCTCTGCAATCATCAGGATTTCATTTGTTTTAAAGCTTGGAATTGCTTATAATTAAATAAGTTGACACATTTCCTGGCAAGTTATTTGGCCTAAGTGGCAGATCTCATACCTCAAGCCCTTCCAAGCATCTTATCCAAAACCCTCCTAGTGCCAAAAGCTATGTTATAAAGCCTAAAGTAGCAATGTTTCATTTAAGAAAAAAATTCTTAAAGGCTAGAAAGGTTCTCTGAATAACAGCTAGCACAAGAAAGCAGGCAAAAAGCTCTAAGATTTCAAATAAAGTTTTGACTTAATTCATCAGAACACTTTTTGCATTTATACAATGGTTGCCCAATTCAAAATGCTTTCAAATATTAGCAACACAAACTGAGTTAGGTAAATTAGATGAGACAACAGGAACGCAAGAGTAACCTATCCAAGGTCAGAAAAGCGGAGAAAGAAGTTGAACGCTATTCCATGTTCAAAGGTGTGCTGTAATAAGTACTCCAAGAATATGGATGGCTTTGCCTGCTTACACAATGCAAGATATGTCTCTTCATGAAGTATCAAAAGAAATGCTTAATAAAGAAACTTCTACCTAAAGTTGTACTCTAAGCTAGTAGATATATGGTAGGACTTCATGAAATAAAAAAAATATTACCTCTTTAAGAACTTTGACGTAAAAGTTTAATAGCTGACCATTTCAGACCAATTTTACAAAATAAAAACATATTTCTCTGAAATTCTGAACATGAAAGATGAAACAATCTAATTAAGATGAAAATTATTTCAAGAAGAGCATCCATCTAACATGCTAATATATTTCTTCAACTTTTCAGATATTTCAATACACATTTAAAAAATGCTATGTATTCCTAAAACTTAACTCGCTCTACCAGCATCAGTAACTTGCTGAGACCCTGAGGGAATGACCTAAGGCAGAAATAAGTTGGTGACTGACTGCAAGTTGGAAAAGGCAGACATATTCCAGTTTGATTAAGGCTGAAAAATCTCTAGAGCTATTACTGGGTGGCACCAGGCATTCAGCATGGAGTCACCTCTTGACCGAGAACAAAGACAAGCTGGCAGTTGCTTGCCATTCATATCTGCCAAAAAAAGATGAAGGGGAATAGCTCAAGAGAAAAGTCAGATAAACAGTTGCAAGTCGTAAGAGAACAACAGTCTAATTCTGAAGGTTAGTAAGCAGATATCTAAATCAGAATTTTACAGAAACCCACCATTTAATAAAGAAAAAAAGAACTGGAATAGAAACTAGAGAATAAAAATCCAATGTGAAAATTCAGACCACTGCTAGAAGCCTTCACCTTCAGTAATAAAAGTTTTCATTTCTACACTAATCCTAACATACCTAAATGAAGGGAGGCTGGTAATACCTCCTCTTCTCCAAGTCTTCCCTGTTAGCATGAGCAAGCCCCGCATGCTAACAGACTTGCAAATCCTTGTCTTGAAGAACATAATCAACTCATATTGCCAGCAAAGATTAATCTGAGCTGTAATTTCTATCCTTTCCAGTCAAGATATTGCTGCCCATGTACCTTCTCTACAGGATTCCGTAACAGCAGCATATTAGTACATTACGCATAACAATATGACATACAAAAAGCACCCTCAAGTATCTTTTTTGCACGTTATGTTATGCTGACCCACACTAATCAAATTTGCAAAGCCTTAAATATTTACATTTGACTTTGCCTTTCAAGTCTTAAGCTAGGGCACTGACAAGTCATGTTTTCGTACAAAGATGCTGTACAAACACAGACAGTATTTATGACATTCATTTCAGCAAATTAGTAAATACACTGTGCTCCCCATTGGTAAAAAAGATGCTCAGTAGGTTGCTTCTTCTCTTTGACAGGCTGGGGGAAGGGGAAGGAGGGAAGCTGCTGTTTAGTGAGGTGGAAGCCCATTTTTTCTATTTTTAGAAAAGTAGTTTTCTTAGAAAACAAAAGCCACTCAGGAGGATGAGCAGCCAATCAGCTCAGCAGAACAAGAAGTAGACAATACTTTCTCCTATTCACATCCAATGATGTTAGGATATTTTCTGGTTGAAGAAAACAGTCAATGATTTTCCAGAAAAACAGCTAATTATGTAATACTAGTCCTCAACATATTTAGGCTGATGACATCTCAAGTCAATTCTGTGTTTATAGTCACCTAATATGTAGAAGTAAGTTTCTCCATTCATTCTTCTATTTTTTTCTCAATTTTATATGCCGCATTTTACATATAGGCAACATACCTTAGGTCACTTTCATACAGTAGTGTTACTTTTCCAAATAGCAGTAGAAATAAAACCCAAGATAATATTCTTCTGCTTATATTACATTACCTTGCAGCTGTTCAGACACAGGTCTCTCTCTAGCCCTAGTACAATTTTGATAAGCCAAGTAACTTTAGATGCTAACATCTTTTGATGGTAAGACTTAGCTCCACAATAAACCCAGACCCATGAGAGACATTTCCCTCAAATCCAAATAGTTACGCAGACACGTTATTTTAAAAGAAAAAATTCGGCAAGTTATGACAACTCAAGGATCGTCAAAAGCAAACCCAAACCCCTGCTGAGATGTATTTTCCATCTCCTTTTATCAAAGAAACAGCGGGGGGGGCGGGGGGAGTATATTTACTTACATCAATGGAAATGCAAAAAATGGAAGTGTCATAATCAACCTTGCTGTCCATTCATCAGGAAGACACCACAAATATACAATTAAGCAAGTGATAAGGTAAAGAAGTGAAGAGTAGAGAAGCAGCCTTCCAACCCATAGTTTCTGTAGCCTCTGATTTTTTTCTCTAAATTCTTCTAATGTCTGTATTTCCTGCAAAAAAATAGGGTTCAACCTTATTAGTGAAATTAGTTGGTGGTTTTACTAAGCTGCCTTTAAGTGTTTGCTAAAATTAGCCATATCAATGTGATACTTAATTAGAAAAGTCAAGCAGCTTTTTGATAAATGACAATATTTGCCCAAAGATAACTTTCATAGCATAAATACATCACACTATTAAGGTTGCTACAGGCCACTTGCACTGTATTAGCAGTAACACATCGCTGCTGGGAAGAAATACTACAAATCAGCACTTTATCTCATTTGTAATGCATTATTATATTTGGGACAAGTGGAAAATGCCAATATCTTATGAATTGCAATCTTTACGATCACATAAGTCACTACCAACCATACTTCACATCCCAAAACTTTCATCAGGCACCTGTGGAATTTCAAATGCTTCTAATATTTTTCTACTAATTTGGGAAATTGCTGACACCTCTCCATCATTTCACCTGTTTTCATTTCTGTATTTTCCTCATATTAAGAGTGAAATCCTGAACATCTGAATGATGCTTTTGGCATATTCATAAGTAATCAAGCAATGCTCTGCTGTTACCATTTTGACTGCATTTCAAGTGACAACGGGACTACTCACACTTTTAATGAAAGAAAAACAAAAACTATCAACAGCATATTTCAAAACAGTTAATTTCCCCACAGAGTACAGACATCTGCCACAAACTCTGGCTAAAAAAAAAAAAAAAAAATCACAGTTGATTACTGAACAGTCTATTCAGTTATTCTGCCCTTGACCTTACTTACTACCACTACAGTTACAACTCTTACACTTAAAACCATACATTGAAGATTTTCTAATGAGTCTGATGAATGCAACTTTGCAGTAGTGACATTTTCCATTACATGGGAGTTTAAACACTAGTATTAATTAAATTGTGTTATCAAGCCAACTTCACATTCATTCCCGTTTCAGGCTCTCTAAATAATACTTAAACTGTAGTTTCTCACTACCTATTATACGGTGTTTTGTTTTTTTTTTAAAGTGACTAACAGTAAGGGGAAAAAGGGTGGCAGTCCATCTGAAACTCAGAAACTCTATTACATCCAACTGGAATAATTACCAACTTGATTTACAATTCCATGACAGTATTTTACCTAATGTGAAAGAAATATATGGCCAGCCAAAAGGATGCATATTTCTAATTAAAAAAAAAAAAAAAACAAACGAAACACCAAAAAGCAAATACATACCTTATCAATTTTTTCTAATACTTCTACAGTGGAAGGCTTTGCCTGCTTACAAGGGAAAGAACAAAGATGTTAATCTAACTTTAAAAAGTCTGTATTTTGAGGATTACTGTACATTAACATTTTCTAACAAAAAGACATATTCATGATAGATTAATATAGTCTCTGTTTTACATAAAGGTAAGAAGTTATTTTACTTTAATAGTGACAAATAGAAGGGACTCTAATGAATCACTATTTTAGAGTTGGTATTACTATTAACTGAAGGCTTCTCTCCTACACCGCAAAAGATTAAAACCTATAATGCACATACAGCAATAATGGATGTGTGGGTGGGAAGTAAAACAAGGAGTGAATTGATGAGTGGAGAGAATGGGCAAAACAAAGAGAATATATATAGGAAACCCTAACCTGAGAACTTAAGCTTTTTATTACTTTTCATTCCACACAAAGACAGATACTCTAAATAAATTATAAGCAACTGCAAATAAGTGTTATCTCCAGTAAAATTCCCCTTAGGAGCAACTTGGAATCCCCTTCTACGAATCCTTCCTAATTTCTAAGAAGAATAAAGTCAGTACCTTCCCCATCCTTCAGGCCACAAATTCAAAAACCATAGCCCACACTGCATCACCATAAAAGCAAGATTCTTTCTACTACACAAAACCAACATTTCACCTAAACAGTTGCCTTTAAAAAAAGGAGTTTCGTATGGGAGGCTCTAAAATCAACTGGTAATATGCAAAGGCAAACGTAGACTCGAACAACTCACACATGCCGGGGGAGTATTCAAAAATCTCATGCCTCTTCCTCAAACTCAGTACACCATTAAATAATACACAAACCAAGAAAAACAGTTAGGAAGAAAGACTTGTTTAAGTAGCTATCAAAATATTTGTTAAAACAGACACAGAACGATGTTCTGAATGTATTCATCTTGACCTAAAATAGCCACCAGTCTTTCAAGTCACAAACGCTGTTATATTTATCCCAATGAAGCACCACAAAACTATTTAGATTTACAGAAAGCGTTGAAACTGTATTTTTTTTTATACGTGAAACTAGTGCCTGGTCTAGTACTGCAAAGGAAGTAAAGGACAGCTGCACAGTTTCACAGTTTAGGGATTTGGCAGAGAATATCTTTGATATTTTCTTTGCCAGTCTCACTACTGGATTTCTAAGTGACATATTAATGGGAAAAGTTTAGCACTAACATTCAACCAGCATCAACAGTCAACCAACAGGCATTAAGAAACATGTCCTGCATACTCCGATCTTCTAGACTAAAGATTATTACATTGTTACATGACTTTACTTACCCTCCATCTTGAAATTAATCCACCCATCTTCAATTGTGGACAAATGTTGGCAAGAGCTATCAATCTTCTACAAGAATTCACAGCTAGAAGTGAAGCATTAAGCACTTAGGAGCAATCTAACAGCACAGTCCAAGATGCACAGATTTATTCCAATACCTGAAGGAATCAAAATATTGCATAAAGCCATTGTCTAGTTATCTAGGCTGTCCAGTTGAGACTAGGACAATATATATGGTTATTTTAAAATATCTAGTCTTCTGTTTCATAGGGCATCTTGTAAGTCAGTTGAGCAGCCTCGATGTGGCCAAACTTATTTTTACTTTGAAAATATTTAATCAGAGGGGAGTCCTCAAAAATAGACACACAAAATAACTGCTAAAAAAAGCCACGAATATCCTCCATCAGAAAAACAATTTTTAAAACTTATCATTAAGCAGCGTTATTTAAGAAACTGATTTCCAATTATCTCCTCTGCTGCTCATAAGCATAACTCTCAATGTTTCTTTTCAGCTGTCACTCCAGGCATCCAGCATTAATATCCTACTATTCATGAGAAAGTTCATCTCCAATAAGTCTACTTCATTTTCATGCTCTCATAGACAACAATGTATTCGATAGCACTATTGCTCTTCCTTTGTATGATCAGTTTTAAGTTCAAATAATCACTTACTCTAGGAAAGCACTACACTGGTAGGTGTTCCCTGTACACAACACACAGTGCAGTCACCGGCACATCAAATGTCCCTACAGCAATTCCAAAGGCGCAAAAGTAGCTCACCCTACACAAATCTGGAACCCATGAACAGCACTAGTTTGATGATCTGGGTCTAGGTTCCTGAAACAAAAAGGCAGCAACTTTCCTTCAGCAAGTAGTTGGAATCGATTGATTTTGAACCTCAGGATGCCATAATTTCTCTCCAGCCACTTAATTTACAAGTTTTCACCCAGTGCATGAAAAGATGATCAGTTCATAGCAACCCCAATAGTAAACTAATGCCCAATCCCAACTAGGGCTCAAACCCTTTTAACTCTGGAACAAAACAGTAAGACTTATTAAAACAAAGCACTAATCCAGTTAGGCAGAAGTATAAGTGATTATTACCTTATTTATTAAGTTACCTTTGGCCAGAAATTGAAAATAAAGAAACCCCATCTCAATCCAAATTTGTTCCCAAATTGTCTGAGACTGTCAGGACAAATTAATATAATATAGGATACAAATTGCTCACTAGAACAAATGCTACTGCAGTATAGCAACCTCTTCACCTTTTAAGCAAGCCAGGGACTTCAGAATCCAGAAGTACAGGCCCTATGATTTCAAAAATCAATCCTTAAAGATAAGGAAATCAGTATTTGAAAGGCTGCCAAAATTAAGCTAGAACTAATGGACAAATCGGCTCTGAGTCTGCCAAATTACTAGCACAAAGGGGTGAGCTACAGAAAAAGCACAATTACCCCCTGGACTCTTGAGCAAATTCTTAAAATAATCACTACCAGAGCAACTCACCTCAGTAAAACAGCAGAAATATTTTTATTTTTCAAACACACAATATTATTCTTCTCTAACACTGAGAATTTTATACAATTGTCACTTTGCAGTTACAGGCGAGTTTTTGCATGACAAATATTGCAGATCTGAGCAGACACTTTCTTCACAAATATTTCTACAAGGACAGATAGTATCTTTATTGCAAAACAATATAAAAGCTATGTCAAATAGCCAGTCAAGAAGTTTGTAAACCTAGCACAAGGTTCTCAAGTATAGTTTGCTTCCTTAGAATTGCCACTGCTGTTAGGAACAATAGTAGCTCTCAATTCTGGACATACAGAGTCATGGAGGTACTCACACAGCCTTTTTGTGCGCCATTTTCCTTCAGACCATAGTTTGAGAACCTCTGTAGTAGAAGTGTTAGTGGATCTTTTGGGCATAGGTCATCCGTCAGCCATTGGTGACACCGACCTTTGTCAACAACACATTCACAAAGCTATCTCTACACATGTTTTTTCAAAATATCTGGCAAATATGTGAAGGGAACAGGTTTGACAAGTGTCACCATGCGCATAATTTTACATGAACTATGACGCTGACAGGCTTTACTGCTCTGTACGTCAGTAATAAAACCAAAACCCTTCCCCAAAGAGGTATTAAGGGATTAGGGCCACTAGATTCACATTTACACTTTAGTCACCTTAGTTAGGAGATGATTAATTTTCTATGTTTTCTATGGAGTGTCTCAGATGTTTTCCTTCCCTCCCTTCTCCTCTTTTTGACATGACAACACAAATTGTCTTCAATTGCTTCAGATCCTCCTCGTTCCTCCTTACTTGCCACTCCACATACCTACCACTAATATGCTACTGTTCATGGTTAAGAGTCCTCCTTCCACAAGTCTCCTCCCTTCCCATGCTCTAACCATCCAATTATTGCACAACACTCTTCCTTCTGAAGACTGCATTTCTTCAGCACAGAGCTGTCCTTTCCACTCACTGAGCACTGCTGCAAATGGACTTATTTCCACAAACATTATCCCCAATTCAATACACAAATAAGATAGATGCAACATTTGCTAGCCGTAGGCTTAAAATAGATAACAGAGGTGTTAAAAAACATTTAATATACAAGCTTAAGGAAACACTATTACCAATTTTATTACCTGATTCTCAAAAAAAAAACCCTAATTTCCTGATAGCACCTCCTCCACCTCAAAAATATGCAATTTAATTAGTAAAAAAATCAAAGCAGAAGTGCCACAGTAAGAGTACCAGAGCAGAAAAAGTTTCTCTCTTAGAAGAGGGATGAATCATGCACAATTACAGAAGTCATCCAGCAGTCTATTCATCCAGATGGAAAAAATAGTTTGATGACCTCATTACACTTTTATCAAGTCAGTCTCAAATTTCTTCGAGCTGGTTTTTAAGTTTTAAGATTAAAACCTATCCAAAGAAAAAATCAAAGTCACCAAAATAAATTTTAATAACTGACATGCTGAAATTCAAGACTAAATAACACCAAGTCAAGCCACATTAAAAGAAAAAAGGAAGTTAGAAACTTGAAATCACGACTTTGTGTACAGACATATAGACCTTTCCCCTGAAGGAAGGCAGAATGCTCTTTAAATGAGGTATTTTCTAAACTTAATTACTTCATTTTATGTAAATATTTTCAGATATTTACCATTACAAAGAACACAAGTTCTACCTTTCAACTTGAATCTCCAATTCTGCTCACTAAGTTTCCACCCAAAATTCCTATTCACACACAATTTACTGATCTCAGAAACTTCCACAGTGACCATAAAAAGTCTGTCCTGCTGTGAATGCCGTGGACAAGGGAAAACAAGCATAGCAAAACTAGGAGCATCATCCATCGCCTACTGTTAGCCTGTCCTTGCACCTCTCAGTTAAAACAGGAGAGGGAATTTTGTTCATTTTAAACTTAATTTTCAACTTTTTCTGTTCGGAAGCATCCAATGGAGGGCCTATGCTCTGTAAAGCCTTAATTAAAAAGGCGAATTAGCTCCCACACAGTGGCTCCAAACAGAAGGAGCAAGGAGTGGGTGGGTCGGGCGCTTTTTTTGAAGCCCAGGCTTGTTTTGAAG